AGTGATGAGAATAACATGCGGAACAGTCTAGAGTCTAAAGTGTGTCTGTGTGATCCGGGCTTCAATGCCAACCTCTCAAAGTGTCATTCCAACAAACTCAAAGAAAGCCCAAAGCAATGAGCCGCAATTTTTGACTGAATGTTTTTCTTACTGGTGCTTAGCAGGGAATGGATGGGAATGGGGGAATGGGGGAATGGGATGATTATTACTAGTGACTATGGATCATTCCCTCATTCCCTGCTAAGCAGCAGTAAGTTTTTCTGAAGGTTTCTAAGAAGCAGTCTGTCAATCCACCGTTTTGCGTTTTGTCGCTGACATGCTGGCAAGCATGGACACTCGCTGTGATGGATGTTTCAATTCATGAAATGGAAATGAAACTTCAGGAAGAAATTTCATCATTGGAAAACACACTTGCGGGCTATCCCCCGCAAATATCTTTGAAAATGTGTAAAATATTGTAAAATTATCCATGGAAAAAACGCGGGGATTCCAGAGACGCCTGTTCCAACCAACGGCAACATGCAGCAAGTGAATTATATAGGCATCGACACATGCCTACAGCATGTGATATGTGTCTACAACATATTCAAACAAACTGGCGGAAATATCAAACATCATCATCCTGAAGTCCTGCTATTTCTGAATGCTTTCCCTGGGAGAACCATCATTTATTCATGACGTTGTTTGAGGTCGATATAGTTTAGCCAGAGCAGCTTCTCGGCCTTGAAACCTGGCAGTCCTTCTTGTGATCGACCAAAGGTTCAAGGGTTCCGTCCATTTTGGTGACAATGAGTTTCTGGGTAAATTATTATAATTCACTAACCTGAATTAAGGCCATTTGGGGATGATTTCCCTTATAAGCCATGATTCCAGTGAGGTCGCAGTGAGCTCGTTATAATTTACCCAGGAGTTTGCACTTTCGCTTTGCGGCATACTCTGTCTTCAACCTCCATTTGACATACCACAGCCAAAACCTTGTTCTTGTCCGTAGAGATGCTGACAGTGACAACTGTAATGGGTGCCATCAGCAACAAAAGGCATGGAATGAACACGGTAGCCATCAGCTTGTGCGTTGGGAAGAAAAACACAGCTTGTCAGCAGGGTCACTGCCAGACTTTAGCGAGTTCGCCGTGTTTCTCAAGGTTCCACGCAAATCCATGCGCACCTGGAAAGCTAACGATCACATCCATGTCATGCCTGAAATCTTCTTGCTTTCATTCTCCTGGAGGATGTTGTCAAGCATCGAAGCTGAAGACCCAGCTTCAGAGCGCCCATTTTTCAGGTCCATGCTAACTCTGCGCAAGCGCAAGAACAAGCTAAGTGTCATGCTCGATCATGCTCGATCATGCTCGATCAATATTAAACAACATGCAACTATGTCAGCTGATTTGAACGGCAAGGTGCAGGTTGGAACAAGTGATAGCACGTGTTTGAACGTCAGCTTAAGGCATCTCGAGCGCAGCACAACTCCGGTTCCCTTCTGGCTGGGGCACCCCGCAATAAATCGATGAAGAGGTCTTTGAAGATGGCAAAGCAATGTGGCAGACGGTGGGAAAATGAATGCAAAGCAAGGACATGCAAGAACAAACCACAACAGCAACAAGCACAAAAAAGCAAGTGAAAGTTCCGGGCAACCGCAATGCCACATTCCCCAGCAAAAGAAACATCAAAACAAAGCAACACACATTGATCACAGCCAACATTCAACCAGCTGCTGTCCCAGTATCCCCCTTTTGCATCCATTTGCCCTTTGCCATGTTTTTCTGGGTTTTGGGTGAGTCGCATTCCAAACAAACATATACCATTTAATTACACCAAAAGGTCCTTAAACCTGAGATACCCCAATAGTAAACTTAGTAAACACTTCGTAAATCAGGGGCACAGTGTTCAACAAGAGAGATATGCCGATATGCGATCCCCATGGCCACAACTGAAGGCCCTGAAGGCCCTGGAGGCTCTGAAGGCTCTAGCATACATTCCGCAAGTGGAGTTGATCAAGGTGTTCTTCCTCATTCCACTCCTGCGGGGCACCGGATTCTCCCCCAAGGCTTGGTGTTTGGTGACCTGGCAGACCCAAAACCCACAAAACCATGGGAAACATGGCACAAATATGTAGTTGTTGAGCTTGAATACCATGTCTTTCATATCACATATATCCTCTCGTAGTCTCGTAGTAGTTTCAAGACACAAAGCCTGAGAAACATGCCATGAAAGTCAGCATCAGTCGCCGTCAGATCTGTGAAATTTAACATCAAGTCGATGTTGGCAGCAGCTTGTGGGTCAAATTGGGAGACTGTGATTTTTGATCCATGATTACAATGGATTGGTTGATGGGAAAATCTACAGGAAACCATGGTTTTTACCATCAAATATAGGGCTTTCCTGTAAATTTTCCCATCATCCAATTCTATGAATGATTACCATTTGGGTGTGTCTGAAAATAGTGTACCCCTAAACCCAATGGTTTTGCTGATCATTATCCCTATTAAATGGCTATAATTGGGAATATACCCTATTTTCAGACAAGCCCATTTATCATTTCACATTGCCAAACGCAAATGTGGTAAACGGTACACCCAAGAACAAATCCCATGTTCATAACATCCCACCATCATTAGGAAGTTCTCATACTTGGTACAGTATCTTAACCCCTATTAATGGGGGCATGACCATCCCCAATATGGATACAGGAATAGATACATAATTCAACTTTTGACTATGGCACACTGGTTGTATCCCCAAACCTGAATCCCAATCTATCGAGCATTTTACCATTTGAAAATCCCCAGTGTGTAACACTTACCCTCCAGTAAATCAACATAGACCCTGCCAGATAGGGCTTGAAAGATGAGTTTCCTCATGTTTCCTCTAAAAATTGGGTGATTTTCAGGGTCTATGTTTATTTTCCAGAGGCTCATCACCGGGTAATCTATAGATTTCGGTGACTTTCCCAGGTAATCTATAGATTTCGGTGACTTTTTCCCATGGACATCGCCATGTTAAAAAACATGGCGCTGCCGTGTCGATAGCGCTGCAAGGCCTGTAGAGGGAGTCGTAGGTGACCTCCAACACCAATCTCTGACCAGGATCCATGCCTCAAAATTTCACGGTGGATGGGGTTTCCGCGAGGCCTCACCAGTGGATTTCAGGTAGTAATATCAATGGATTGGTTTAAGGGAAAATTTACAGGAACCCCCATATTTAATGGTAAAAATCATGGTTTCCTGCAGATTTTCCCTCAATCCAATGACTGGATAATACCTTATCCCATTATTTTTTTGGGCTTTCCAGCACCAATTTTGGATGGTTGAAAACCTATAAATAATGGGATTAATGGGATAAACCATCTATCAACTGGTGCAGGATTTCGCAACCATCCACAGTATCAATCTAGCACATACTACCCAAAACTTGTTTATGTACTGCCAGCGTACCTCATGCATGTTCTATCACTCTTTGTATGCCTTTACGCTACATATTTGCTACCGTAGATTATATGCTGAAAGCGTACCTACGCATAATGCATACCTGCATACCTGTATGATCCTATATACTATATGATCTACATGCTTGGATGCAGTATGTACCTGCAATATATATATATATATGTATGTATGTATACTACCTAAATATATCTACATGTGAACACCAACGTAAGCAATACCTATGTGTAGTTGTAGTATATACATTGCTTCATCACTACCTATATACTCCTCACATCCTACATATACGACCTATACATGTTTCATAGCATACCTATATACGCGACTCATTGCATAGCGTGCCCATATACTATATACGTATATACTCCCTGCAAATAACTCCATAAATACTCTCCATACACTCCTTATAAAGTGGACATCGACCACTTAGAGCTGCACAAACACTGCCCATGTAGGACTGTTGTTGTTGGGAACCACCCAAGGCCACAGGGGGGGGGAGGGAACCATCTGGCTGCAAGGGGGGTGTGGTGATCCCTGCTCTATATATAATTCATTACAAATCCATATATTGATGTCTCTGAAAATGAGGTACACCCCCAATGACATTGAATCCCTCAACCAGAGGTGTTGCCTTGGGACCCCGAGTGACTGACGAGACGACGGCACCGGGCCTTTGGTTTCCGCCAGTGACAAACCGAAGAGTTTGTTGTCAAAGAGGTCCACACCATCAATCAAGGAGCAATGCCTGGCCAAGTCATGGGAGGGATACCCCTCCGCCCGAATGGTCGGGGAAATCGATTCGATCGATTATCCATCATGGGATTGGGACACCTATACCCATAGGATCCATGTATGGTATATTTGCCTACATTTGGGTCATTTATGGGGCAAATGTTGGTAAATATTCCATACATGGATCCTATGGGTATAGATATTGGGAAAAACTTCAACAGGTGTTACCAACATGATAACAACAATGGACTCTCCACCACCGGCTGAGATAACTTGCAAAACCCACAGAACCGATTCGGCGGGCTGGTCATTTGTCTGACGCTCATCACTCAACTGGTTATAAAGATATATAAAACACAAAAAAAAATCACAAGCTCCCAATATAGTCATCTCCCATCATGAATTCCGAATAGCACTCCAGCTTTCATCCATTTTCATAACCCAAAAATGACCCAAAAACTTCATGGATCCCCTACATTTCACCCATCGCCTGCAATTGGTCTTGGGCGGATTCTGTTTCCAGCAGTCCGGCGACGGGTCGTACCTTGCTTTGCTCCAGGATGCCAGATACCCAAAGATGAAGGAAGCTAACTAGCCAATCACATTCATGCATATTTTTACTATACTGTATTAATTATATCTACATTATAGCATATTAATAGTATATTATATCATCTACATTTATCTACAATATTGCGTCATATTATATCGTAATCTATGTATTTTTTCAGGCTGATTTCAGCTTCTCCAAGGGCCCGACACCGTCTCGTGCTCCCATCGCATAATGGGCACTTCAATGACAGTGTCAGCACCTGCCGAGCGCTTGATGCAGGGCCCGGCCCGGTAGCCTTCGACCTGTGACAAATGTGCCCATCATGTTTATGGATGAACAATCCAAAAAATGCAACAGCAAAAAACAACAGATATATTTATTAAATGTGCACACATGAACATCTTGAACCATGAAACATATATGTTCCAAGCACGCGTCCATGGCTGCCCGGCCCATTGGTCACCTGATGTGAGACCCAGAAAAAAGACCTCCGGCTCCCAAGTCACCGGAAGCCTGGCTATAGTGGGGGATCCCCTTGTCACCATGGGCTTCAATGGTCATGGCCATCCATGACTGGATGATTGGGGTGTGCTGCCGTTTTAGGAAACCTTTATATATGTGTGAATCTCTTGATCTTGATGTGCTATATGTGTTGCAAATATACATTCATGTGTTTGTATTCAAATTTGAAGAATTTTGGAGATGTATAATGTCAACCCTGGATTAATAAACCCCTGTGGGCTGTTTAATTGGGATGGTACCATAAAAAAGTATTAGATTATGACTATTGGTGTAGTACCACCCCAATTAATAAACCATGGTGTATTAATCCGGGGTTGACATTAATATTGATGGGTATCCCCAAGCATTGCCATTTCAAGTGCCGGAACATGATGATAGACCAGTGGCTCGTCAGACAAACCCAGAAACAAGGCGGTGCCCGAAAAAAAAACCCGTTAGGTATAGATATATCCACCATTTTTGGCCTAGTTATTGGAGTGACTTGCACCAACTTCGCCAACGAATTGGGCCCCACCAACTGGTGAAAAAAAATCCCCATTCTATCTCCATGGCTGATTAAGATGGGTTATTTCATGTTGCTTCCCTATTGCCAACATAAAATTAACCATAAATCCCAAAGGTTTTGGTTGCTATAAGCGTAGAACACCATTATTGTTGCTAAAGCATGCTAAAGCAATGTCATAAACGATCCATATGGATTGAGGGGAAACCTATAGAGACACGCACATAGAAAGGAAGTGATAGAGAACAAGACTAACAAAACAGATAGACAATTCTAAAGTTCTGGTTGCTTTTGGGCAAAGTTCTATTTGAGTTGGTCCCACATTTCATGTCTATACCACCCATCTATATCCATTCATGGTAGAATTGGGGATGGTAAAATCTATGAGTTTCCGCACCTTGCTGCTGCACCCCTGACCACCGTGGTTTGGCGCTTGAACCATGTGCGATTCGCTGCATGGATGAAGCTCCTGGCGCCGGAGGATGAGGTCCCACGTTCACTTAGGACGAAATTTTTAAGGTCACTTACGCCGAAAATGACCCCCACACATTTTCGACATCACTTGCGACGAAAAACCTCTGATTACCTGTAAATTTCCACGAAATTACGCTACCACGAAATGCAAAAAAACGATCAACACTACATGTCTCATTCATGTTCCAGTGGGGTGGGGTGGGGTGGGGTGGGATGATAACGTTCATGTTCCTATGCGCACACAGGCACAGCAACCTCATCAGCTTTCTTGCTGTTGAGCAGAGACAGGCACAGCTCTTTCATGATCAGTTACCGGTGGGGTGGGGTGAGTTAATAAGGTTCATGTTCCTATGCCTGCACACGCACAGCAACCTCATCATCTTTCTTGCTGTAGAGCACTTACACGCACTGCTCTTTCATGATCAGTTACCCTCAGGGTGGGGAGGGTGGGGGGTGGGGGGGGATGATAACGTTCATGTTCCTATGCACACACGGCACAGCAACCTCATCATCTTTCTTGCTGTAGAGCACTTACACGCACTGCTCTTTCATGATCAGTTACCCTCAGGGTGGGGAGGGTGGGGGGTGGGGGGGGATGATAACGTTCATGTTCCTATGCACACACAGGCACAGCAACCTCATCAGCTTTCTTGCTGTTGAGCAGAGACAGGCACAGCTCTTTCATGATCAGTTA